ATGGACCTTTCCATTGTAACAACAACTTATTGCGTTTTGTAGGTATAAGAACCAGTACTTTACTTCCCTTCTTAAAAGTTCTATCTCTAGCTTTCCTGTTGTAATACTTTCTATACCTAATACTGCTCTTCTCTAACTCCTGCTGTGCTATCTTACATGTACTTTCTAGTCTTTCTTGCAAATCAACTACATACTGATAAGTTGTCTTAACTTCGTCATTCTCTGCTTTTCCTGACCATAACTCTCTCAAAATGGTAATTGGACCTCTTATACTACGTCCATATAACAATTCAAATGGCGAGAATCCTAAACTCTCTTGTGGAACTTCCCGATACGCAAACAACATAGCATTCAAATACTTATCCCAATCTGTAGGTCTTTCACTACACATCCGTTTCAACATCTGCTTTAAACTACCATTAAATTTCTCCACTAAACCATTACACATCGGATGATACGGTGTAGTTGTTAACTGTCTAAGAGATAGCAACCTACTAACCTCATTCATAATCTGTGAAGTAAATTGTGATCCACAATCTGTAAGCATTTCCTCTGGAACACCTAATCTACTATACATGTCAACTAATGCTTCGGCTACTCTTTCAGTCTCTATACTAGGCAATGCAATTGCTTCAGGATATCTGGTAGCATAGTCTACCATGGTCAAAATATATCGGTTCTTCCTATCAGTCATAGGTTCGATCGGACCAACAATGTCAACGGCAACTCTCTTAAAAGGAGTATCAATCAAAGGCATCTTACCTAAAGTTACCTTACTTATTCTACCTTTAGAAATAGTACGTTGACAAATATCACAAGACTGACAATATCGTCTAACCTCTACAAGAACACCTGGCCAATAAAACTCCCCTAAGACTCTATCACTTGTCTTCCTAATACCAAGATGTCCTGCCAAAAGCGAGTCATGCGCTACTTTTAACACAGTCTCCCTAAGATCCTTAGGAACTACTAACTGCCTACTTACGTCACCATTTCCTGCCGTAAACTCTCTAAACAACATCTTATTCCTGACCTGAAACTTCACTTGCCCTTTACCTCTACAGTTTCTAACAGTACCTTCCTCTGCTTTCTTTCTACATCCATCTAATGTACCATCTGCCTGCTGCTTCTCTACAAACTCTACATTAGTGATGTCTAAAATCTGTGAAGGAACTTTAAGTCTTCTATGAGCTTTAACTTTACTCTGCGATCTTGTTTCTACTGCTGAAGCTAACTTACCAAAATTTGGTTCTACAGCACCCTCTATGTTACCGATAATTACATCATTTGTAGGATTATCTACACATAGTGCTTCTACAGTACCCCTGTAATACGGACAATCAAGATCAATTAACGCCATGTCTAATCTGTGCTCACTACCATCAATGTACTTACATCGTCTGGACTTCCCCAACAATTGATTTGCATTTACCAAATTCCTTCGTACTATGACACATGTACACCCAGTATCTCTCATTGCAACTATAGCTTTACCATTACATATACCTCTAGTTGTCGGACATGAATTTATAGTAACTGTACCAACGTCTTCAAAATCCCCAAGTTCTATCAAACTACTACCACTATCTGATCTCGGCATCGAAATTTTCGAATCTGCATCTCTATTTCTTCCTCTACCTCTACTCCTACCTCTATAACCTCCTCGCCTTCTATTACCCTGATAACTATTATCATTCTTACTTGGATTCATTGAGTTCGGTTCTATGTCTTCCGCTGCGTTAGCTTTATTTGTAGCCTTATTTCTACAGAAAAATGCTGTATGCCCTAAACGACCACAAGATGTGCATTTATAACCTTCATACTGCTGAGATGCTCTACCTCTATTTACCAGTCTATCGTTACCTCTTTGCATACGATAACTACTACCTTGATTTCTATCTACAGGTCTACTCGGCAGTGCATAAGGCTTAGCTCTGTCTTTAATTCCATGATTCACTACATACTTTGGACCGCCTCTAGTCTTGGCAAACAAATCTGCATCTTCCGCTACTTCACGGGCTGAAAACAACTTCTTACTACTAAGGTTCTGATATAGTTCTCTATTGCAGATATCTAAAAATTGATCCCTTACTATGAAGTCTAACAACTTTTCATAAGTCTTCTCCACCTTACTCAATCTTAACCAACCATCTAAGTATCTAGAAATTCTAGCTAGGAACATCACAAAAGTCTCATTTTCACGGGGCCTTTCACTCCTAAACTTCTTCTTATACCCATCATCAGTCAACTCAAACTGCCTTAACAAAGCATCTTTCAGCTTATCATAATCCGTCCTATCTTCTAATGGAAGCCTATCAAATACCTCCCTAGCAGTACCTTTTAACAGAAACGGTAAGTTTAGTGACCACATTTCATGTTCCCAATTCTGAGCAGACGCATAAGTTTCATAAACATTCAAATACGCATCCATAGAATCAATCTTTTCGTCAAATGGAGTCATCTTAACCTTAACCTTACCTACACTCTTCTTACCTAACATATCTAACTCTATCTTCATCTTATATTCTGTATCTAACTTCCTAGCTTCTGCTTCCTCCTTCTCTCTTTCTAACTGACGAGCATAATCTAACTTCTCCCTTGCAACCCTAGCCTCATTACTTAACTTCTCTTTTTCCATTTCTATCTCTATTTCTAACTTCTCCTTAGAAATCTGGAACTCATAATCTAACTTCTCTTTCTCATTACTTAACTTCTCTTTTGCTAACCTAGCTTCTAATTCTAACCTATCCTTCTCAGCTTCTAAACGTTCCTTCTCAGCTTCTATACGTTCCTTCTCAGCTTCTAACCTACTATGTCTTTCTTCACGCTCCCTTGCTTGCTCCTCTTTAACAAAGTTTCTCAAAGCCTCATCTGTATACCCTAACTCCTGACCTACCTTCATCAACTCATTTACACTAGTCATCTTGAACTTATTATGTATATTTCCTACACTGTAACACTACTACAACAACAACTTAGGATACAAGTAAAATCTTACCGTGAGGTAGAACAATGATATCAAAGTATCATTAAAGGGTAACACTACAACCCTTAAATACAAAACACTATATTCACTAAGTACAATCACGGTGCACTATAACACTACACTTCAGTGTAACACCATATAATTAAACGCATTTATCACTCTAGCGCTATAAACAAAATGTACCTTCACTGTACACAGTACTAAAATAAACAATGTATCATATATTCTAAACACTATACCTCATCACTACAAACACTAAGTTCCAAACTCATCTAAGTATCTCACTAAGGTTGTATTATAATAATCTTAAGTGTACAGTAGACAGTAGGCAATAATTAAAACTGTTCAAAATACTTTAAACTTCAAAGTCCAAACTACGACCCAAATCTCAATGTCGTGTAGCACTTACCCCACAGTGCAAAAATATAAAAGGTATATGGCCAGTTTCAATATACTACAGACACAAAGTAAACACAAAGTAAAATTGTAAATGACACAATAAATTAAATGTTCACCTAGATAACAGACACAGTTTCTTTATCTAGAAAAAGTACACAAGGCGGGTAGTACCTTACATTGCAGAGTGTATGTGTGTATATATGTACTTCCGGTGTTTTACCGAAAGGTCACTTTCAGATTACAAAACTGGTGGTCTCATCATAAAGTGACACCTAAAAGGAGGAAAATGGAACGAACTCACCCTAAACGTCCAAACGTCCACTGTCGGGTCTGTGTGGCTGTTATAACCTCTCAGCTGGATAGCTGTCACACACACAAGTCCGTTTCATTTGTCACGGTATCAATCTGAAAATGTTAAGAAATTATAATCACACGAAATATAAAAAAAAGAAAATAATTAAAAGTGATACAAAATTTAACTACCTTTAAGTAAACTAAATTTAACTTTTAATTGTAAATAAAACTTTTTACTTAAAATAAAAACCAAAGTTTCTAGTGTTAGCTATATAACCTAGCTGCAGTAAAATGAGTGTGGTTTGTTTCAGATAACAACTATAGTCAACCGGTATCCAATCACGTCGAGGTCACCAAATGTCACAATAGGGACTACGATGGGATACCAGGCCGACCACAATTGCTATCTAAAACAACCAACAACTCAGAACAGAAAAATATATACAAATTTATTTACAGAAATGAATATTTATAAATGAAAAATGATTGTATATGATAAACTACTATGATAAGTCACTGCACAAACAAACACTATCAACGTATCTCTAGAGAAGGATCTTCAGTGGCATGATTGGAAGACGTTTATTTATTGGTGGTTATTATGTGGCGTATATTTGTATATATTTTTCTGTTCTGAGTTGTTGGTTGTTTTAGATAGCAATTGTGGTCGGCCTGGTATCCCATCGTAGTCCCTATTGTGACAACCAGTAGATACTAGATAACCTTTATTAATTGCTTGTTCACTTGGTCAGAAGTCCTGCATAATAACCTGATCACATGACAAACTGGCTGCCGATAGGGGGCATACATGTTTTACAAACATATCTTGTTTTTCTTCAGTATTTCAAAAATAATAATGAAATATTAGATTTATATAACATATATAATCTAAAGTCAAAACATGTAATAATGCATATGCATTTATTTAGTTTTCAGTTTATATCTGATTTGACTATGACACCTAAGTTTAATGCAAATAACAAATCTTTAGGGGTTACGAATATTTTATTGTAACAGAATAACACATTAAAATTCAGTTAATTGTAACATGTTTAAAAGTCTTGGAAAATAAACCCTACAGTTCTGTCACATTGCATATTTAAAGGAACTTTAGAGAGGTCCAAAAGAGGTCTTTCTCTACCAGTTCAGCTTGAAAGTTGCCATATGACCTATCATTCTGGTGCTGCGGCATTAAACGAAATAAATACCGTTGAAGCTCTCTCTTTAAAATCATGCTTGAATAAAATCTGATGTTGTTGAAATATCAAATTCCTGTAATTGTAAAATTTGTGTAAAACTTTTAAGCTTATATTTTATCTAGTGAACCATGCAGAGAAGTGTCACCAGAATGTCCAAATGTTAAAGAAGAATGTGTTAGTGAGGGAGAAGAAAGTGTTAGTGAGGAATCAGAGTCTGACACAGAAATTGAAGATATAATGAATTACCTTAAAGCTGATAAGAAATTGATCAAGATAACTGAAGATTCTACTTCTACTGAAGAAAATGCAGAATTAGGAAACAGAAGGAGAAGCTCAAGAGTTCAGTCACGGGGTTACAGGCCTAATTATGCAAGCTTGGATTGGATAGATGACCATGAGAAAAACAGTGATGATTATGTATCTGAAATTGTGGTTACAATGGAGGACAAACAGATACATGGAAGAAGAAAGCATACTTCTCCTGCTGACACTGCAGTGACAGAAGATGATAAGTTTAGAAATGATTTTAAAACTAAAAGAAATGATAAAAGGAAAGTAAAAGATCCTGATTTTTTTCCTGATGAAATTGAATGTTTTGAAAATTTGGATGAAAGTGATGATAGTTCTGAAACTGATGACATGGATGATGAGGAAAGCTACATGCTGGATAATGAAGGTGATGACTTAACGGAAAGTAAGACATCAAATAAAGATATGAGAAAGAGAAAAAGAAAAATTGGTAAGTCAGCTGGTAATAATTGTAAGAAAAGGAAAAAGTCATGGGTCCATATAAAACTAGAAGAGCATCAGGATAAGTACAGCAAAGAAATTGTCAAATCATTTGCAAGAAAAGATCGTAATGTTGATGTAACAGAAGAATTATTCAAATGTTTAATATGTGGCAATTTCAAGTCCACAGCTAGAGATCTTTTTGAGGAACATATTGAAAAACATGTGAATAAGGTCCTGGAATGTGACAAATGTTCTTATGTAGGTTACTCTGAATTTGTGTTATTAAAGCATAAGTTTTCTGTTGGACATGCATCTGGAAAAAAACAGTTTATTTGTGATATATGTGGCATAGTTCTATACACATCAGTTGCTAGATTGACACATATGGGAAAGGAGCACGGTGACCCTCAGTTTAAATGTAGTTACTGTGATGAGAAGTTTGCTACAAATAATAGAAGAAGGAAGCATTATAGAACAGTACATACTGACCTTGTCAAGTATTGCTTCAATTGTGAAACTGGTAATCTTTTTTTTATTTTCTCTGTTTGAAACCAAAGATTCTTTTAACATCTGTAAACATAAATAAAATCCAGCCTTTTGCTGGTACATTCCATTCTTCATGTTTTTATGCCTTAAGCATATAGGAATTGAACTGTCCGGATGTCCGTATGAGGTTAACCTAAAATGGCAAGTTCGACCAGTGCCAACGGTTTAATAATTTATACACTTAATTAACAATACTAAGTTCATGATCTGTGCAAGAAATATACTGGAAACTATGGTTTTCATTTTTTATAAGTTATTGCACATTTCATCACTTTGAAAATGGATATGCTTAACCTTAACCGGCAAGTTGGTATATCTTAAGTCCTTTCTATACTTATAGATTTATGATTTCCATGCTTACTTATGAATACAAAGTACATGATTTTGCCAAGTTATATATCTGTGCCATCCATTTTCTTAGTTATTTTGCTTACCACTTTTTAACACTTTGAAAATATAGTATTTTATGGTAAACTTTTAGCAAGTTGGATTCAGTGTCTATTTTAGGAGGAGGATTGGGGGATTCACTCAGGTTTTTGAAATGTAATAAATTCTCACTTTTCGAAAAAAATCTGCCTGTTCCTCGAATTCTAGAATAGACATTGTTAATTTATTTTAAATCAGGATCTGACCCCCAAGCGTCTATGAACATAGACATGTTATTCACAAAGAATAGACACTGTTGATTTATCTTAAATCAGGATTTGACCCCAAGGGTCTGTGAACATGCTATTAACTAATTATAGCAATGATCTGCCTTTACAGATTACCGTCACTTAAGTTTGGAATACTTCAGAGATCATCAAAGTTCTTGCAAGGTCACAAATCAGTGCCAGGTATGTGGTGTATGCCTGTCAACAAAGAGTGGATTAAAGAAACATATAGAATCTATACACATGAATGTGAGAAATTACCAGTGTTCTACATGCCCATATTCTGCAAAATGTTCTCAGAGACTTAAAGAGCATGAATTGAGTCATAGAAGTAAGTTTGTTGTACCCCAGATTCAGCTTTTTCTTTACTTTAAAATGACATTTTGCCAAATGTAAATGTATGTACAGCTATATGTCAAAACAGCTTTTTATTTTGCCATCCTTAGTCCGTCCTCTATACAAATTGCACACATGGTTCTGGTCTGCAGAACAAGATGGCTCCTAGAGCTGAACATAGAAAATACTTAGAATGACCACTCCACCTTAAGGGACTTCAAAGCCTGAATACATAAAATTTTAATGCCTTCCATTTAGCAGGTTAAAAGGATCACACAACTTGTTCGGACTACTCCTCAAAAACTACATTTGAAATTTCATGAATAATCAGTACCTAGTCCAATTGTGCATTTTTCCAATATTAAAATTTTGTATACCACAAATGCAATTTTAGTAAAACTTTACAAGATTAATTTGTAGCTCATGGTTCTTGCTCATACTACATGGGTTTTAAGGTTGAATGATATTTAGCGAGTTACACTTTGAAATTTATTTAATAAAAAAGGTATTTTGGCCTGTTGATGACTTTTATCTTGCCAGCTACACAGAAGCTGAGTGAAACATACTACAAAGAAAAGTGGCAATTTATTGGAATCATTTCTTTGGTGTCTTGGTGTTTGTCCTTCCGAGCTACTTCTCAAGAACTACTGAATACAGGAATGATCAGTGCCAAGGAACTTCAAACTTGGTATACTGATTGATCATGACCAGTAGATGACCCCTATCAATTTTGATGTCAAGGGGTCAACTGTCAAGGTCACATTGACCTTGTAGTTTAAAACAGTTTCCGATCAATATCTAAGGAACGCTTAAGCCTAGGAACTTCAAACTAGGTATGATGATTTTTCATGACCAGTAGAGGACTCCTATTGATTTTGGGGTCAATGGTAAAGTTCACATTGACCTTGTAGGTAAAAACGGTTTCCAGACAATAACTAAAGAACACTAAGGCCCTTGGTATCATGATTGTTCATGACTAGTAGATGACCCTTATTGATTTTAGGGTCAATGGTCAAAGTCACATTGACCTTGTAAGTAAAGCCGGTTTCTGACCAATAACCTAACAACTCAAGTTGCCTTGATTGATATTTTTCATTTAACTAAAAATACTTTTTGTATACACATTTCAAGGTCTTGTGTTATGGAACAAATTTGCTGTCATTTAGGAGGCCTACATGATTCATTAAATTTATGCATAATTATATCATTTGAAATGATTTGTGATAACTTTCTGCACAAAACCTATAGGTCACAATTGCCTAGTGACTAGTCATGACCAGTAGGTAACCCCTATTGTTTTGTTTTTTTTGGTCACTAGGGCAAAAGTCAGTTACAATTACCTGACCACATGACTAATTGGCTGCCGATAGGCGACATACATTTTTCACAAACATATCTTGTAGTTCTCAAAGATTGACAGATGGACAGACAGACAACTGAGAAGTGATCCCTGTGCACATGTGTTGACGCTTCTGTAACAGCAGGCAACACAAAAATATGATATAATTTTGGCTTAAAGTATTTGTTTATCATTGCCATCGAATGGATAAAATGTATAAAAAGATACAGCTGCATGTACATGAAGTCCCTAACCAGTGTTAGTTTTTATGCTCCCCGAAAAAATTTCGGGGGAGCATATAGTCGCCGCCTTGTCCGTCCGTCCGTCCGGCCGTCCGTCCGTCTTTCCGTCCGTCCGTCCGTCCGTCCGTCCGTCCGTCCCCTTTTCTTGTCCGGGACATAACTTTGAAACAACAAGAGGTATCAACATGAAACTTTGTAGGTAGATAGATCTCATTTAGTAGGTGTGCAGTGCACAAGAACCGTAACTCTGCCTTGCCTAATTTTTGAATTATTCCCCTTTGTTTATTTTTACACTTTGAACTTTGTCCGGGACATAACTCTAAAAGTATAAGAGGTATCAATATGAAACTTTGTAGGTAGATAGATCTCATTGAGTAGAAGTGCAGTGCACAAGAACCGTAACTCTGCCTTGCCTAATTTTTGAATTATCCCCCTTTGTTTATTTTACACTTTGAACTTTGTCCGGGACATAACTCTAAAAGAATAAGAGGTATCAACATGAAACTTTGTAGGTAGATAGATCTCATTGAGTAGGTGTGCAGTGCACAAGAACCGTAACTCTGCCTTGCCTAATTTTTGAATTACCCCCCTTTGTTTATTTTACACTTTGAAATTTGTCCGGGACATAACTCTAAAAGTATAAGAGGTATCAACATGAAACTTTGTAGGTAGATAGATCTCATTGAGTAGAAGTGCAGTGCACAAGAACCGTAACTCTGCCTTGCCTAATTTTTGAATTATCCCCCTTTGTTTATTTTACACTTTGAACTTTGTCGAGGACATAACTCTAAAAGTATAAGAGGTATCAACATGAAACTTTGTAGGTAGATAGATCTCATTGAGTAGGTGTGCAGTGCACAAGAACTGTAACTCTGCCTTGCCTAATTTTTGAATTATCCCCCTTTGTTTATTTTTACACTTTGAAATTTGTCCGGGACATAACTCTAAAACTATAAGAGGTATCAACATGAAACTTTGTAGGTAGATAGTTCTCATTGAGTAGGTATGCAGTGCACAAGAACCGTAACTCTGCCTTGTCTAATTTTTGAATTATCCCCCTTTGTTTATTTTACACTTTGAGCTTTGTCCGGGACATAACTCTAAAAGTATAAGAGGTATCAACATGAAACTTTGTAGGTATATAGATCTCATTGAGTAGGTGTGCAGTGAACAAGAACCTTAACTCTGCCTTGCCTAATTTTTGAATTATCCCCCTTTGTTTTATTTTTTACACTTTGAACTTTGTCCGGGACATATTTCTTAATGTATAAGAGATATCAACATGAAACTTTGTAGGTAGATAGATCTCATTGAGTAAGTTTGCAGTGCACAAGAACTGTAACACTGTCTTTGCCTTCTTTTGTAGTTATTGCCCTTTGTTCATTTTGACACTTTGAACTTTGTCTGGGACATTATTCTAAAATTATAAGAGATATCAACATGAAACTTTGTAGATAGATAGGTCTCATTTGGTGGAAGTGCAGTGCTTAAGAATCATTACTCTGCCTTGCCTTATTTTGAAGTAATTGCCCTTTGTTTATTTTTACTTTTTGACTTTTGTCCTGGACATTACTTTAAAACTATTAGAGATATCAACATGAAACTTTGTAGGTAGCTAGATATAATTGGATAGAACTGCAACGCTTCAAGAACCTAAACAAAGCCTGGTGTAATTTTGGAGTTATTGCCCTTTGTTCATTTTTTTTATACTTTCCTGTGTCCAGAACCTTCTCGGGGAGCATCACCCGGTTCAACCGGTTCTTGTTAAAGATAATTTTGTACTTATCTAGTATTAATACTGCCACTTTAATTCAACTCCAAAAGTCTAAATTTAGATATTTTGCTAAGACACTTAAAATGGGCAGAATTGCAAAACATAATGGAGAAATGTACATAGATTGAAATCAAACAATTCTGACACTGATAATTATATTTGAAACAATATGTTTAATTGATTTCCATTTTCTGGTCTTTTTGTCAATGATTATTCAATAAATACAGAGTGAGCAAAAGATAGGGAATATTGTTTGCAAGTCATTGGTCAAAACCCTCTATGGAGTCTCTTTAACAATAATGATTTGGTAATTTTAAGTTCACATTATTAATTTGTTCATACATGTATATTTGCAGGTGATCATCAATTCTTTTGTGACAAATGTACATTTACTTGTGTTCAAAAATACCAGCTAAAGTCTCACATGAGAACACATACTGGGGAGAAACCATATAAGTGTTCACAATGCAAGTTTGCAGCTGCATGGAATGTTCAGCTAAAGGAACATGTCAAAGTTCACGGGATGGAAAACACAGTGGCATGTTCACATTGTGATATTGTTTTTCGTAATCAAAAAGCTTTAAAAATGCATGAGAAAAAAGATCATCCTGAAATTCCTGGAAATATTAAAAAATCGAAAAAGCGACGATAGTTAATGTTCATACTTGTGTTAAGACTGTACATTATACAACAATAAGTTTAAACATAATATTTTGTAATTTTGTTTCGCCTAAATGGCTTTCATACCAGTGGATTACGGAGAATGGTGTTTTTATATTTATGTACACATTTTGCTTTGTTTTCTGTAAATTGAGAAAAAAGTTAATAATAGAATAAAATAGAAATAAAGTAAACTTTACTCCACCAGAACTGAATTGACCAATTTCCTCACTGCGGTAACATCCCTTGATCAGCAGTTAAGGGTTAAGACCTACAACAATAGCATGTACATGTACCACAAGCATACCATCTGGCCAGCTGGAAACATCAGGCGTATATAGCCCGTGCAGGATAGTATGATAAAAGTAAGGAAGGGAGCTAATTGCAAGAATTACCTGCTTTTGATAGAAAATAAGTATTTCAACTTTGAAGTCTTTACAATGTATATTGATAGTTTACTTAGGGGAAATATAATAAGTAATGGTACATTTTGTGGACTCCTTTATTGATCTTGGTGACTCGATCTTCTCTAATTTAAGAAGTTTCAAGTTGGCTTCAAAAACTTTCTTACCCACTCTTTATTATGCCCTTCCCCATCTAACCAATGTGGTAGCATACAGTTTTGTATCGTCCCTCCATCGGAATTTTGTCCTGTCCATAATTTTGTCATTTATACATTTGTAGATGGATTTGAATTTTTTTTATAAAATTGTAACACATTAGAACAATGTGTCATATGCAAGTTCTAGCCTCAACAGCCCAAAGGTCAAGTTCATACTTGAATGCCAGAAGTCCTGATAAAACAGTGCATTGGTTGCTATCTTTTTTTGTCATTCAGTAACAGATTTTGTAATAACTTTGTTAAATTTATCTTCTTTAAAACAATCAAGGTCACGCTAGGACTTATAAAGTTATAATTTCATTAAAGTACTGTTATCCGAGAATCAATTTTGAAATAACTAGGCACACTTCTGTGGCACATTATGAAAACTTGTCGCAGGCAAAGGCAAGGTAGACAGTTTAATAGATGAGGTTATACTTGAATGTTCAACTAGTACATTGATGGATGTGTCATGTCATATCATTGTCATTCATTGATGCTTTTTAAAACAGTTTTGGCTCACTGAGAATATGATGAAAATATTTGTTAATATTTCTTTATACATGTACTTGTAGCACTCTTTTTTATAGTAGTCCACTATTAGACTAGTCAAAGAGACATAGAGATAATTTGGACGGGCGATGCTTTTAACTGTTTACAATACTCATTAATTTCTTTTCAATGTATATGTAAAATAAGAAACCATGCGTGAAACTTACTATTTTGTTTTTGTGTGACTTTCTATCCCAGAAATGTTTGTTTTACTTTCTGTACATCTGCAAAGAACTTTTTTTACTCTACAGATCTTTCAGCAGATTTTATATGGACTTCTAGGATAAAAGATGTCAATATTTTTCTTGGTTTTTGTGTTTTAGTGAAGGAAGAAAGCTTATTTTCATTCATTTTTGATACAAAATTATTCCGTCTCGTGTCACTTACTAAAGCTGCATTTGTAATTTTCACACAATTTCAAACAATGTTTTTCAAAAAACCATAAAACGTACGACAATGCACTTGTCATGCATGGTATTTATATATTTAAAGAAGGTTACCATGCATATATGATTAGGTTGAGTAAAAAACGTTTTTCACCTAAATTTAAAAAAACAAAAAACATAATAAACTTACAGAGGCCAGAGACATACATGTATACTTAAACATACAAACATAGCACAACTAGATTTATCTTTCAATAACAGCCATCTATCTTCATTTACGATAAATGAATTACCCAAATGTTTGAAAAAATTACCTAAAATTGTGAGGTCGACAAGGTTTGGTGCAAATTGAATTTCCAAAAACTCCCACGAGGCAAACTATATGACTGCCACTTTTTCTAAGAAGTTTTTCCAAGCTGGTTAAAAAACATTTATTTGTCAATTCACCATTGTGTTTTAAAATTTTGGGGATCAAAATTTTAACTTGGAACATGCAAATTTCCCACACATTTACACGTGTTTGACAAAATTCATTTTTTGTCTTGTTCTTTGATGAACTTCAAACCTTCCAGATGTGGATGAATGAAGCATAAACACCGCAAGGATAGTTTCATTTGTTTAAATCAACAAAGAAATGAAACATGTTCCAGTTGTATTTCTTAAATTTAACTTTTCGTCAAATCAGAAAAGCTTAGAAAATAAATATAAAAAACAATTTTTCAAAATGACAAACAAACCACCCTATCCAGTAGAAAAATAGGAGCTGCTAGTTCTGTAAACTATCCAGGACTCAAGTCTTGCAACCAATCTTTCTCGCTTTTAACCAAAGTATGCAACCACCCCACGTCCAGCTCTTGCTGGAAACAATTTTGATAAAAAGTGCTTATAGATCTATTTTCACCACGACTTAAATACATCAAAAGCTATGTTTTCACTTTGTAAGGTTTAGCTCATAGAAGTATACCTTGATGGTAAATTGCTCTGAGAAAATTGATATATACAGTACCCTGTACTACCAATCAGAAATTCGAGGACAGATAAAAAAACTATAGGGTGGAGGAAGCTTAGTATTCAAAAAGCAGTGGAACTGTAATGCACGGCAAATATTTATGTTGAACTTTCTTGACGGCTGTGTTTGTTCCAGGACAGCATCAAAAATACGCAAATATTGCAGCAAATTAAAGAAGCTGTTTGAGTTTTTGTGAATATTTTATTAGTTCTTTCTTGGCTGAGACAACGTCTCTGTGAGTTTTTGTCTCTTCGACTTAATAATCATAAACATTACTCACTATTATGGACAAATAGATAATAGTCATCATTGGTATAATTAAAACGAAGAAAAATAATAACACAAGAAGAACGGATTTATATTACATAAATTCCGGCAAGAAGGAACAAAATAAATATCATCCATGTCCGAGTTGCTCCCCTTACAAATTTTGACGCCATTTGCCCATTAAGAATACAACGGCCTTACACAGTTACACCGCAAGTAAAACAAGCATTGCCAAGGAAATTTAGTATGCATGAAAACAAGCTCTACAGTATATCAACAATTGCAAACTTGCATTCAATTGGATAGAGTGGCATGTTGCTCTTTTTTTAACATAAAACATGTAGAATGTATCAAAATTAAGGCTTTAATAAATAACTGTCACTGTAAAGGTCAAATTCAACGCTGTTCAAAGATTTTTTTATTACAGTTTGTACCTTAATGTAAATTATCTTTTAAAACTATTGCATTTTTTTGTTTAAATTAAACATACGGTCTTTTAACTTGTCAATACATCAAGTTCCAGATTTAAAAACCGACGAGATTCTAACAATTTTTGATGGATTTGGGGGGGGGGGGGGGGGGGGGGGGGGGGGGGGGGGGGGGGGGGGGTGGGGGGGGGGGGGGGGGGGGGGGGGGGGTGTTGTCCTATGTGTTTATTTTCAGGGGTGGGGGGGTGACCACCATGTCATTTTTAGATGGGGGGAGGGGGCTTTTGTCCGGAGGGGCTTTTGTCTGTATCCTGAATCAAATCAATGGGCTTACAACATTACTTGCAGATTTTCATCAAATTTTTAAAAAGGTAACGGACATTATATACATTGGTTTTATGTTAAAAGTGTCTCATCGTGTTCTTTGGATTTGTAAATATAGATAAACTATGGTTTTGTGTGCCGCCTTTGGCTGTAATTCACTCTCTGGACGTGATAAAGTGAACTTTTTCCGCTTTCCAAAAGACAAGAAACTTCGAAAAGTTTGGTGCAGTAGGATGGGCCGAGCTAGCTGTGTTAATAAATTCAAGGTTTATTCTCCAAATAAAAACAGTCGGTTGTGTTCTTTACACTTTGAAGAGAACCAATTTACACACAGTTCAGCATTTTTAGAGTCAATTGGTTATAAGGGAAGTTTCAGGAGAACATTAAAGACCGATGCTGTGCCCACCATCTTTCCTGCTACAGTCAACAAGCTTTCACAAGTGAGAAGACAATCTTCAGAAACTCTCCTTGAAAAAAAGAGAAAAAATCAAGTAAGTTTTCCTTTCATTTATTTTCTAGCTTTATATCTCTTCCCTATTCTGCTAAATTTTCACAGGCCGATGGTGCTAGTAAATTTTATTGGAGCAATTGGCTAGTGGGCTAGTGCTTAAAGGCACATTATACCTCAGAAATCCATATTTATAAAATTCTTTAAAATATCAAGTATGTATTTGATAATGTTTTAATAAAAGATTTAGAACATGTTACATGTTTACATTGATTCTCCACTAAACGTGCAAATTAGAAAATATTCTGTCCCTCGAGTATATTTTGTTTTACTGCAGTTGAAAAATACTTTTTGGGCATTATATTGCTTCATTCCATGGTCATTTATGTAAAGCATTCAAATTAATGACTTAGTCTGCTGGATTAATACGAAAATATTATCACGGCAGAGGTGCAGTATAACCCATTATGTCATGTCCCCAGGTTTGGCACCCATATAACTGTTGTTTTTACATAATTTAACCTGAAACGTGTTAAAGAAAAACCACTTTAGTATTAAGTTTTAGTTTAAATGTCTAAGTGAGCGATTTTTATTGTTTTCTACAGTGAATTTGGAAAAAAGTTACCAGCTGAAATGCATGTCCCTCATATATTGAACAGATACGTTACCACACTTCAGGTAAACCTGAGTAAGAGTAATATGAACTTGTAACATATTAATAGTTTGCTATTGAACTCAAGTTTGATCATATTTCATTATTCAAAAATAATTTTGACTACAATATACATGCTAGAACCACAATGACTTTGCAACGATGAGGCAATTTGGATTATACTTTAAAGTGAAACGGATACGTGACTATGACAATGTGGCCATACCACGTGACTTTTCGGGTACGGAACACGCCGATTTTTCACCCGATTCAGGTATGTTTTTTCTTCAAAACTTATTTATTACTCAACCGATTTTGACGAGAAAAGGCACAGAGTACCCGTAATTATATCAGTTATTCCAACGGTTATAAAATCAAAATTCTGAAAACCCTGAATGGTTTTTTTGAACAATTCGAGTAACAGTTCTCTTTCAATAGCTTAGGCCGAGGGGAACGGTACACACTCATTTGGCATAACAGGCGATTTCTAGCAAGTCATATGTTTTTTGACACTATTTCATAGAAAAATACATGTTAAATCTGATATATTTACTATGTCCAATGTATCGAGTGAATGCAGTGATGTTTTAGCATATTTTCATAAAGTTATGTTGAAATGATA